ACTACTACTACTACTACTACTACTACTACTACTACTACTACTACTACTACTACGTACTCAAAGGGGTCTTTGCGACAGGTTTCCGGAACCTGAGGTCGCCGGTGGGCGGCTCGGCGTAAGGAATCCCGCGGTATGCCAGGTACTCCATGCCGTTGAACGCTGTGAGAGTGGAGCCCATGTAGGAGCCGGACGGAGCACTGACCACCTGCTGCTGCTGACCAGACGCTGGGTCAAGGAGATGGGCACAGGTCAGACACAGACTGACCAGGAGGGTGGACCTCAACGTCGTCATTGTTATGGCTGGACAGTTGTGACGGTGCTGACAGAGGAACTCACCTGCTGGGAAATGTTTATAATTTATTACATGATATGTGTCATTTTCTATTTGTTGGGTATTGTTTTTATGGGTATCATCATTTATTTGAAGGCTATCATTATTTAGTTGGAGGGTATCATTATTTAGTTGAAGGGTATCATTATTTAGTTGAAGGGTATCATTATTTAGTTGAAGGGTATCATCATTTATTTGAAGGCTATCATTATTTAGTTGAAGGGTATCATTATTTAGTTGAAGGGTATCATTATTTATTTGATGGGTATCGTTTAATTAAGTGTTTTACGGCACTTGCAACACAATAAGGTCATAATATAAGTGCCGAAGATTAGAGGTGTTACAAGAGAGTAACAAACATAAAAAAAGAAGAAGAGGAGATCAGGACGGTCGATGTTTGATAGGAAAGAAGGAGCAAACCACACCCTGGATGGATGTCGTTATTTTACAGTGAGAGACAAGTCGTCAGCCTTGTGAGGAGGCCAGCTGACCCCAGTGGGGTAAATTTTACAGTAAAAGTTATAAAAAAACTATTTGGTATCATCACACTGTAAAACCTCTACTAAAACAAACAAAACACTACCGATTCGTCACATAAAAATAATTTTTATATTTTGTAGGTCGGTCGGTCTTATCACACGAGCGAAGAAATGCTGTTGTTTCTGGCACTCTTGAGTGAACACAAGGGCCTTGAACATCTAGCTCTCAGTGGCAAAACTCAAGGCAAACGATGAAGAGGATAACCCAGAGCAATTTACTTGAAAAACCTCAACAAACAGATGTTGGATGACGGGGAAAGACTAGGATAGTACAATGTGCATTATTTTAAGAGCTTCCGAGCAGAGAAATTGGCGACGAAGCATGTTCACTGATGATGCTGCAAGGTGATGCCAGTTATAACCGTTTTTTAATTTCTTTTGAAAGTTTTTAGTCTGTCTCTGTTGAAAAAGGATTAAAAGAAATAAAAGCAAAAAGAAACAAAACACATTAAAAAAATTTTAAAAACCTCCTAAATATTTTAAAGCAATTTTGGCACCGCTTCAACAGCTGAAGGTGACAACATTTATAACAGGTTTTTCGTTAGTGCCGTTTTTTTTTTTTTTTAAACCTGGTTGTCTATTTGTGTTGGAAAAAGAAAAACAAAGAAACAAAACAGAAAAAAAAAAGAATATTAAAAAGAAACTAACTTGACGTTTAAACGATCTGGTTTTACTTCAGAGATTTTACTGACTTTTATACCAACTTCTTGTAACTCAAAATTGCCCCGACTTCCATCTACGCTTTATGTTCTTGATTTTTAAATTTTCTTGCAGGGGCGAAGGCTGACTTTTTTGACAGGGTAATCAAAGTGAGATGGGACCAGATAGGGCCTGGAGATATCACACTCACATAAGTCACAAGAATCTTACTGGCACTGGAGGTGGCAACTCTGACTTGTGGTGAATGAAAACAAATCCTGAATTCATGTTGTATGCATATTCAACCGCTAAAATAATCGGGAAAGTATTTCATTAAATATTTATTCTAACTAACCTTAAATTTAACTTTAGATTTGAACAC